ATCCATCAATTTTGGCGCCGTTGCCGGGGAGGCAATAGTTAAATATTGAGTTTGAGTGAAAATGTGTCAACATTTGAGCTGTTAATGAAAAATTATCCATCTTATAAGGGAGATCCTCGTTATTGGAATAATTGTCTCAATTTTAATAGTTGGGATGGTTGCCAACAAAATTCATCTTTTTATGATTTTAATCCTGGCTATACTAATAATTGTTTTGATTTTTATCAGCAGGATTACTACAACTCCAGTCCATCGCTTCATGAATTAATATCCCAAGAGACGCAAAGAAAAGTGATTGAGGAGGTCACTCAAATCGTTCTCCAAGTGACAAAAAGTTATGAAGCTATGTGTGTAGAGGTCCAAAAATTGGTTGACCTCTTGGGATGTAAGGGAGAGAAGAATTATGATGAAAGGGTTTTGCCTATGAAGTAGATAACATAGTGGAAGAAGAAGTTGATGAGACACCACAACCTGAATAGATTATTGATGAAGATGTGCTAGTTGAGAGCAATTCGAGTTTGGTTTATTGTCAAACAACTCCTCCACATGTTGATTAGTTTAGATCATATTGACTCAGTGGTTCAAGATGTGTTGGTGATTACTAAAGAGTCAATTGTTGCCAATGGTGAGAAAATTATTGATGGAGTGAAAGATGAATTTTCTTGGGGAGTGCATGATGAATATGTTGATTTAACTCAATTCCAAGCCAAGAGACCCCCCCAAGAAGTTGGAAAAGTGGGGAAGAATCGATTTTCTTATATGTTGGATGATGAATAATTGTGAAGAAAATGCTTCCTGGAGGCATGATCGAGAAGTTGATGGCACATTTTTGTGGTACCGGGATGGTTATTCCGAGTGGCCAAGAGATATGAGAGTTTATGCTTGAGCGGATCTTGCAAATTTTCGTTCATTTTTTCTTTTATAATTTCTTTTTAGTGTTTAATATTCATCTAATAAATGATTTCTTTGTTGTGTGTTTTGCAGACTCTTTCAAGGAAAAGCAGACCAGAGGATTCTACCGAGTACCAAAGTTCACTCCATGGAGTGACTTGGAGAAAAGAAGAACTTTTGTTATGCGTAATCACGCCTTAGAAGACATTAGTCTCGGTTCTCTAAAAATCTGAAGCACTCTGTGGAGCAGTCACCATCACTGTACGGAGTGAGGTGAGCACACTGAGAGTAATACTGAGGCACTCTGTAGAGCGGTTACTTGACTATATGGAGTGGGTCTAAAGCATTTTTTGAGCATTAAATTGACGAGCCCAACACTCTGTAGAGCGGAGCTGTCACTCCGGAGTGATGCAGAAACCAACTTGGTGCTAAAAATTTCATTTGTCTCCACTTTTGGCCCAACTTGTCTTTGAGTTAGGGAAGTCTTTCTCTTTGCTCTCTTAACTGATACTTAAATTTGAAATTGAATGCGAAATTTTTTGAAGATTTTATAAAATGTGTGATCCTTTGGTTTTGAAAATTTGTATGCGTAGTGTCTAATTGTTTGTCTTTAGTCTGGATTCAGATTTTGCTTATCTTTTTGAGCATTGATGCCATCAAGCAATCTTGTGATAAATTTTCAAAATCAATTTGAGTGATGAAATTTGAATTACCTAGTTCCTTTCTGAGTTTTGGTCTTCAATTGGAATTTTATTTTCGGAACTAAGGTGATTTTGAGTTGCTTGCTTTGTATGGTCTCTATGCATATTTCTATATATCAAGGAACTTCATAATTTTAATGTCTAATATCTTTAGTTTGTGCTTAAAGGCTAATCCTTGACACTCGAAAGAGACCTTTGTTGTGTGTTCTTTATTGTTGATAGTTACAACGTCGGTTGGCCGTAACAAGGACGTCATGAACCCTTGTATCGTGTGTTGTACCAAGGGTAGTTGTGATGGGTTCTACAATCACAACAAGCAAGTTTTTCAAGTGCGTGTGTCTTCCAAATAGGGGAGTATTTCTAATTCTTTATTATTTTTGCACTTCCTTTGAGTTTGCATTTTCTTGATATTATGAAGGCATTGTAAAGCTTAAGTTTGGCGGAAGTAGTGTTATGCCATGTTATTTTGTTGATCATCTTTGCATGACGTTGTTAGTTTTTGTGGTTCTTTATGTACTATACCATGAGGTTCATTGTTATTTTTCTTTCCCTAAGTGTTTATGTGTGTCCATTGAGGACAATGTCCATTTAAGTTTGGGGGAGAGAATAGCTCATGTTTTGGGTAGTAGTGCATATCTCCTCAAGTATTCGGTTCAAACTCTTGTTTATTTAAAAAAAGATCAAAAATTGTTTTGAAAAAATATTTTAAAAAATAAAAAAAATTGCTTTCAATAAAATCAAGAGAGAATTGCATTCTTTGAGAATTGTCAATAATCTATGATGAATTCAAATTTTGAGGGTTATATGTGGTTGTAACAACATTTGTTCATGATCACTTTTAAGCAATGTTAGAAACTCATGACCACATCTTTATGCACAACATTCCATGTGACAATGTGTTGCTTTGGGCTTAAACTCTAAAAATCTTGAATGCTTAATGCATTGTTGTGATCTTATACTGGAGTCCACCTGTCTGAAACCTGGGGGACTGTAAATCTGAGAGTTAGACTAAGGCAACCCTACACATTATGGAAGTCTCGAATCGAGCCCATAGTGGTTTGTAATAACCTAAATTCCTTGGGAAAAAGGAAAGTTAGCGGTTCAATCTGAGGTTAAGTGTTTTATTTAATGAGGGAGTAAAGGCAGAGTGTGCTATGTGGCATTTAATCCCTTGAGAGGTGAGGTATGGCACCAAAGAGAGGAGTGTTCTCAGGCCTGGTGATATTAAAAAGAAATTAAATACTTAGATTACTATAGTTGCTGAAACATGTTCTTGGTAAAGGCCTGACTGGGAAAGAGTCTGAAGAAAAGCCAATTGGACCAAGGTGGAAAAGGTACGAGGGTGAAAAGATGTAGCCAATGATGCTTGCAGAAATGAGAGAAAGCCCTTAGTTCTGATGCTCAATGAGAATACCCTAGTTGAAGACAAGAAAGAAATAGGTAATGATCACAAGAATGTCCATTTAAAATGAATTGAACCTAATATTAGAATGGACAGTAGGTTAAGCAATACATTGTTTTTTGTCTATTTTTCATACACTCACGGAAGTGAGTTTTCTAACTTGCTCAAGTGGTATTGAACTGTGGTGTACATTATCTGTCTCTGATGAGAAATCTGAGATGAATTTTGGCAATTCTCTTTGCTATTTTTGTATAATAAAATGAGTTTTGAATTTGTTTGCTTGAGGACAAGCGAAGTCTTAAGTTTGAGGAAGTTTGATGAGTCAAATATTTACATACATTTTTATATAATTTCCCTTAAGATTTTGTGTTGTTTTTATATTCTTTAAAGATGATTTTACTTAATAAATATTTGTTTGTAGGATTTTGGAGATTGATGATAATTGGAGTTAATGGGACGAAATTGGATTAAATTGAAGAAGAAAAGAAGTGTTGAGGACTGAAGTTAAGATTGGAAGAATTACAAAGGAAGACAATGAAGAAGTTGAAGACTTGAGGGATCAAAAGTGCAATTTCAGAACTTGACTCAAGTTTGGCCGTGGGATTCTTGTACCTAAAGTGGCTGGTCAATGATGATTAATTAAGTGGTGGGCTACTCCATGTCCTTGGGCCATCGAGAAGGGTTTCCATATGTGAAATTGGTCTTTGGATTAATTAATTAAAAGAGAGCCCAAATGATTGAAGAGTGAGCAGCCCTAACTTTTCCTCTATAAAACAATAACGTGAACCAACCCAATTGAGAGTTCGGCCGTGTTTCCATTTGGGCGCGAGACGTGGAGTTTCACGTCATCGGCTGCGCGCAACAAAGGAGAGGGGCAGCAGCCCCTTTGCTGCTGTTCTTCTCAACCCGGACTCTATCTATTTTAATGTTTTTGAGTAGTTTATTTAGTTCAATTATTTAAAGTATATCGATATTGTTTGATGATTTCTTAAATTTTTTTGTTGATGATTCAATGGATAATTATTTTTCTTGTTTTTATTTGCTTGCAATTATTTAGACCTAATAATTGCTAGTATTTGAGAATTATGCATTACTAGGAATAGAATGTATAGTTTTAGCTTTAGGAAGAATAAACCATGACATAAATCTAAAAGTTTATGGTTGTTTGCCTGAGAGGAATATAACAGTAAGGCATGGGTGGGCATATGTGATACCCGTTTCTAATGACTCTACAATTAAATGCAAACATAGGAATATAGGTTTGTGATTAGTTGTAGGGATACTCTTATGACTTCGGAAGAAGCTTAAGAGTATAAATTAGGAGATCCCACCAATATTCATTCACCGCTATTAGTTTAGGATTTATTCGGCAATTGAAGTGGAAATAAATAATTGAACATGTTTGTCTTGCTTCATTCGCTTTCACCATCGCAACCTTAGTTTTAGAAGTTTATTTTCAGCATTTTAATATTTTATTCTTCAATTCGGTTTCTATTTCTTAAACTTGATATTTGCTTACCTCCCTGTGAGATTCGACCCTACTTCCGCTTTATTGCATTTTAGAGTAGGTTAATAATTGTTGGTTTGACATCCATCAGTCTCATGATTGCAACCCTTCCTCTCTATTATGTACTTACTCTAATCAATCATAATAAATTACACAAAAAATAAAATCATATGCATTTTTTTTTATTACATCTATGTATGCTTACTTACCCATCAATGTATAATAGGAAAACTTTGAACATGAAGTATCTCGACAAATTCTTTGAATATCATTAATCTATCAACTGAATTATGATTAAATTCTTTTGATTCAGATCTTGATTTGGATCTCAACTGATGTTTTGCGCTTTAAGGTAACCTCTTCGATAACTTCCTTCAAAATGACTTTGGCAGGAGTAGGATTCTTGTTTAAGGTACTTAAATAAAGGTGCATTTGTTGCTTTTTCAATTCGCCTTGTCTATGTAGCTCATGATACAAATAACATCAGTATTTTTGTGACAGACTCAGAATGTATTAATGGAGGTATCTCCTTTGGTGCTGGCAGGATTAATGTTAGTGTATCTTGATTCCGCTGAACAAAATAGTCATATTTCATTCCATATAACAATGATACTAACAGGATTGCTTTATTTTCCCCTAAATAAAAAACAGATGTACTCTTCAACATGGACTTCCGGGGTGGGAAGCAACATATGGTAAATCATGTAGAGGTAAGATTTTCAATAGCTACTAAACTTACTTATCCTTCTAAACTCAACCTATTATTTTCAAAAGTAAAAAAATATGTCGATAGGAGTGGTCGTCGTTTTTTTACCTTCGTTGTATAAATAATTTCCGGACTGGTTAGAATTTTCTCCAAGTAAAAGTGCTGCATTTTGTCTCCCTTGCTATGTTTTATTATACCTTCATATCGATTTGGGGCAAATGCATTTATACTTGAACGGTTTAAAAACTTGGAAGAAAGTTAATGATGAAGTCAACTGTGCTTTTCTCAATCATGTGGGAAAAGATCCAAACTCATTGCACAAAAGAGCTGTGTAAAGTTGCATTGACTTGCAGAACTCATTGCAACATTTGGATACAATTGTGGAGAAGCATACTTCTGAGGAAGTTGCAATCAATGGGTTGCAACTACAGGTTTCTATTGAGGCGGCAAAATGCGGTGCTTTTCAAGGTGTGCCATTTAGGGGGCATGATGAAAGCCAAGATTCAAAAAATCGAGGTAATTTTATTGAACTTGTTAAATTCATAGCAAAATATAATAAGGATGTGGCTAAAGTAATTTTGCATAACGCACCTCAAAATGCACAATATACCTCACCAATAATTCAAAAGGAAATTCTTTCTGTTTTCCCAAGAAAAGTGCAAAATTTCATTCGTGAAGAGATTTATTAAAAAAGAATTTTGCTTACTTGTAGATGAATCACGGGATAAATCAAGAAGGCAACAAATGGTCGTCGATTTGATAAAAATGTTTTTTGGCATCATTCATGTAGAAGACACTAAATCAGCCAGTTTATTTAAAGGGATATGTGATGTTTTTTATCAATATAATTTTAGTATACAAAATCTCCGTAGCCAAGGATATGATGGTGCTAGTAATAAGTAGCCAGTTCAATGGTTTGCAAGCTTGGTTTTTGGAAGAATGTTCTTATGCTTATCATATTCATGGCTTTGCTCATCACTTGCAATTGACATTAGTAGAACATTTTTCCAACTATTTGGCTTCCAATATTGTGTGTGACTGCTTCTGCTAAAAAAGTTACAACTAAGAGGTTCTAAAACTGCTAGAGTTGGTGAAATGATTGCTACTGATGAAGTTGAAACCAGTAGAGGATAGAATCAAACAGGCTATTTGAAATGTCCAGGGAGTACTCGTTGGGGTTCCTATTTTGGTTCAATATGTAGTTTAATGAACGTGTACGAGGATATATGCTCTGTTTTGAGAGAGATTATCAATGATGAGAACAATCTCTTGGTTAAAAAATGTGCAGTGGGTGCACTGTTTGATAGTAGGACATCTTTTGAATGTCTTCATCTTACATTTTATGAGAGATGTTTTAAGATTTGCAGATATTCTTTGTCAAGTTTTACAATTGTAAAGATAAAGATGTACTAAATGTTATGGATTTTGTATCAGCAACAAAGCATCAGCTTCAAAATTATAAACAAATTGATGGGAAAAGTTATTGGATAGTGGGAAGATGTTTTGTGCCTCAAGAAACATAGAGAGTCTTGATATCGATGCTTTCTACACAATTGGAAGAGACCAAGCTCGTAACCAGATCAATCATGTAATAATAGATCACCATTATAGAGTTGATGCGTTTTTGGGTGTTTTAGATATTTTTAAAGAGGAACTCAATACTACTAATTCAAGGAAGATATGATGGAGATGTTTGTTCTTGGCTCGGCACTTGATCCAAAAAATGACTACGAAAGGTTCAACATAGAAAACATTTGTATACTTGCAAGCAAGTTCTATTCCATGATTTCACGGAGAATGAAAAAGAACTTTTGAAAATTCAGTTGGAACTTTTTCAATTGGATATTGTGGGTATAGATTGAAAGGTTTATCATCACTGCCTGAAATGTATCAGGTGTTGGCTACAACTGGAAAAATTAATAACTGTTATCTTGTGGATAGATTGATTAGTCGTATCCTAACACTTCCAGTTTCTACTGCCACCTCAGCGTGTGCTTTTTAAGCTATAAAAATCATCAAGGCGGAGTTGCGCTACGGAATAGAGGATGAATTGTTGTCTAACTGCTTGTTATTAGATATGAGATGGAGATTGCTGAACAAGTTTGATTCGGATTCCATTATTGATGACTTCAACAAGGAAAAAAAAAAAGACCAATTCAACTTGAAATGCCTAGAACACATTGAAGAATGAACAGTTATATTTGTGTAATTTTAATTTTTTGGAAAAAAAATTTTATAACTATTTTTAAATTTGCGCCCCTCATATGAATTCTTGGTTCCGCCACTGGTAGATTTCAATAACTAATAGCAACAACCGAAAATTCAACCTAAAAGTAACTGTAATTATAAAATCTGTGACATCTTAGAATGGAAGATAAACATGATCAAAGATGTAAACACAAATAAGGAGGATTGCTTTTGTCCATATTTTCAATAAAATTGAATTATACCTGAACCGACCCTGAGTAGAGATTATCTAAATGGAACGGAGGTTATACTATTGCTATTATAGTGTTATAATTCACAAGCGTCTTTTAAAGCGATGGGGGTGGAAGCAGCCATATAGATGCGTTGATGTATCCAAGAGTCAAAAACGGAGTGGCTTCAGGTTCACTTAGCTTCTTGCTGAAACCAACCCGATCATCCAATTTCGCTCCCACTCCTATGCAGTTAAATTCTCCAAAGTACACTGTCCTGGAAAGTAATTAATTTTTTAGCATCATCAAAAAAAAAAAAAACATTTAATGATCCCCAAGAAACCAATTTTAAAAAGATTGAGGATATGTAATGTAGTAACCATTATTTGTTCAGATGGAGACCTTGCAAATTAAATACGCGAAATGAAAAATCATGCAAGCCGGCTTACGAACTTCTCAGTCTCGGGGTGGAAGTTGTCGAACCATCCTTGAGGATGAACAACGTCACTCATATCAGTGTAAGAAAACACGGTAGCGGCGTACGGCATCCATGACCGGCCCAAGAAAGTGGTTTTGCCGGCGCCCGTAACATTGCCGTGTATAAATGAATATCCGGTGTCGTCACCGCTGTTATTCCGGCCTTGTGCGGTGATCACGGCAAAATTATCTCCCGGTATGACGTGGGTCTCAACGTTCTGCATGCAAAACATTATTTTACATCTTTTTTTTTTTCTAAGAAGATCTGAACAAAAGATTTATGCTCTTTTGTAAGAGTGGTTTAATTTAATTTAGGTGATGATCAGTCACATTTACCAAATAAATGGATTTTCCATTGCCAAAAATGAAATCGACCGTTCCCTCAACATAGCAGTCTTTGAAGAAATGCAATCCTTGATGATCACATATGGTATCTTGGAACCCAAGAAACCGGCAATTATAAAACGCCGCTTTATCACCCGAAATTCTTAATGCCAAAGCCTGGCCCCCTTTTTCGCCCTTGTACGGTCTCGGAGCCTTATTCTACATCAAGAAAAAAAAAAAAAAAGCAAACAAGCGAATTCAAGAAAAATAAAACTAATCAGTGAAGTAACTTCTTACCGTATCTCCTTTTTAAATCATATGTACAGAAATTAAAAATAATGATTAAAAATATAATTTATGTGTATGGTACTTTATGTATGGCCCTTCAAAAGATGTATTGAAATTATACAATGTGATTAAATATGAATTAGAATATACCCACTCTCCAAAATATTGATTAATTTGGATTTTTATTTTGTACAATTTATGATATAAGATGAAAATTCAGACTGAGAGAGTGACTATAGTTATCATTAATACATAAAAATGGAGAGAGACAAAAGTAGGTTAGAAAAATGTAACTAACGCTACTTTGAGAATGAAGTGCTATTGATAATGACGAGTCCAGGTCCATCACCGTCAACGGGTCGGCCCACTACTCGGCCTTAGGGTCAAGATCGCTGATATGGCGTCTATTGTTGATAACCCTAGTGGGAATCGGATTTCCCCCAAGCCTATAAATAGGGACCTTTATTCCACACAAAAGGTACGCCATCTTAACTACCATATCAACATACAAACAACCCTATTTTCTAACTTAAGCTTCGGAGTGTCTACCCTCGGGAGACGCCCGAGGCTCTGTTTTGCAGGAAACCCTAGCCGGAGTTCCACCCCATACCGGCGGTACAAATCCAGGTATCGTCAAGTGGTACGTCCGGTGGGACCCGAAAACTAGGGTTTGTGTCACCAAGCTTCTTCAAGCTTTTTTCAAAACCTTTTCAAGCCGCTTCCAGCGACCAAAAAGATGGCGGGGGCCGACAGTCCCCGATCCAGTGCCGCGTCCACCGGCCGACAGGCGAGCCCCGAGGACGGCAAAACTTTGGCACACTTCCAATGGAGGCAGAAACGAAAAAGGAATGATCGCCGGAACAAAAAAGAAACCACTCCCGTCAAACCGACCGATCAGAATCGTCACCATGAAAACCCCGATCCATACCAAAACCAGCGGTTGGCCGAGATCGAAACGGAACTAAAAAAGTTAAAGGATGAAAATTCCCTCAACCAAAGGAAGAAGAAATATATGCTCGAAGAGTACAGACGCTATTGCTTGTTAGGTCTTTCCGACCCAACGAAACGAGAGATAGAGGAATTAATCGAGGAAAAAGAAGCGAAGAGAACTCTGAGCCTCCTCGAAACCAGAAGGGGCAAGCGTCCAGCAACAAACGGAGGGGAGGATCGAACTCGCAAAGAAACTCCCTCTCGAGAAACTCCCTCTCGCGGGGATACTTCCTGGGAAGCACTCGAAAAGACAAACCCAGTGGTTTATCAGGCGATTATTCAGTTTGCACAAGAGCACGAACAGAAGAAACAACCTCATAGACAAGATCGCCGACAATCACCCAGCGTCGAGGAGTTGTCCAAGAGAGAGTGGGAACCCCCGAGAAGAAATGCCCACTCTCGATTGGAACCAAAGCAGATGCGAGAGAAGTCACAACATGGCCACCGTCGAGGAGAAGACCCTCCTCGCCGGGGTCAAGATAACCGGAGTAATCGAGATCCCTCGATTCGAGATTCGATACGAAGGATGATAGGAATGATCGTTGACAGGAGTCCCTTCATCCCCAGGATTCGAGACTGCCCGAAACCCAAAGATTTTGACTTTCCCAAAGACTTCACCTGTTACACAGGGGAATCTGATCCTCAACGATTCCTCAATAAATACGTGCAAGTCATGAGAATTCGTAATGCATCCCTAGATTTCATGGCAAAAGCTTTACCATCATTCTTGGACGGGCAGGTACAACGGTGGTTCGGACAGTTACCAGAGGGAAGTATTGACAGCTTCGAGGATCTCACGGTGAAACTAGCCACCAGGTTTTTCCTCAGCAAGCATGTCACGAAAATGTCCATAGACTTGTCCTCCATAAGACAAGGACAAAACGAAAGCCTTTCGGATTTCCATTGCCGCTTCACCCGTGAGTCTCTCCAAATTGACAATCTCGATGACAGAGACGTAAGGAATAGCTTCATCCAAGGACTCAACCCCTGGGGGAAGTCCGCCCCCCTGCGAGTAAAGTTAACCACTAAACCTCCACAGAACACCCAAGAGATGTGGGCCACGGTAGAAAGCTATATCCAACGGGAACAAACACTAAAAAATTCCCAGGAATCCTTCTCAATCGTAGGAGAGCGAGGAGGGAAGGACAGATATAAACCTCAGGCTGAGAATAAACCCTCGCTACCCAGGCTCGACAGGTTACTGACTCCATTGATAAAGCCTCGACGGGAAATACTCCAAATCCATAAGGACGAGTTTCCAACTCCGAACACTAACTCACAACCCGAATAGGTCCACGAATCAGTACTGTGAGTATCACAAGGATCACGGGCATGACACGGAGGATTGCCGAGAGCTCAAGCGAGAAATTGAAGCGGGAGTAAAGTCTGGCAAATTCCAGCAATATGTGCAGAACACGCAAGGAGCTGCTCGAGGAGATATCCGCAACCCTCGAGAGAAACCCGGCGGTCCTTGCAACTTCCCCAGACGAAACAACAATCGGGGACCTCGGAGAGACAACCGAGGAAACAGCTGGCAACCGAGAGATAATACACAATATCCTGCTCAACCGGTCCTCGACAAACAACCACAACCCATACAACAAATACCTCCTCTCGATCCCGCTAAGAAGATTACCCACAATGTGGGAGCAATCTATGGAGCACCTCTTGAAGTCCTCTCCACCACAGCATTAAAAGCCTCTGTTCGACAGGTAACAAAAACTCCACCGCAAGAGCCAAGTCACAAACGATTCAAAGGAACTGAAGCGATCGTCTTCACCGACAGCGACGTCGTCCCCGACGTATGCCCCCACAGTGATGCCATGGTTATCGAGGCCATCATAGGTAACGTGGGGGTAAGTCGCGTCGACAATGGTAGTGCGGTCGACATCATCTACAGTGATTGTTTCAAGAGAATGAACATACAAAACCCAGACTTGCGCCCCGCTACCTTACCATTGATGGGCTTCTCCGGGCACACTATAATCCCAAGCGGGATCGTCAGGCTTCCAATCACGGTAGGGACGTATCCTCGAACGGTAAATCTAACCATGGATTTCGCCATAATTGATGCTCCCTCGCCATTCAATGTGATCCTAGGACGGCCGTGGATGTGCCAAGCCCGAGCTGTATGGTCACCTTACCACTTGGTCATGAAGTTCCCAACTGAATATGGGATAGGAATAGTCCAAGGCTGCCAACGTAGTTCCAGAGAGTGCCTTCTCACGGCAGTAAAAGTAGGGAAGAAAGCGATAAAGCAGGAGCTGGCAGTCACTTCGACAGGATGCTACTCAATTCAACAGGGTGTGGCACAAGTAGAGGATAAAGAGAGAAAGCAAGAAGTCTCGAGCGCGGATGTTGAGCAAAACTCGCCACTCGGTAGTAAGACAGAAGAGTTAATCTTGGATGAGAAAGAACCAGGAAAAACTACTAAACTTGGGAATCCATTGAGGGTGCGCTGCGGACTGAAACAATCGCCTTACTGCGGACTTTTCGAGACATCTTCGCATGGTCGCCATCCGACATGACCGGAGTTCCTCGACATATCATCGAGCACAAGCTAAACGTTGACCCAAATGTCAGACCGGTAAAACAAAAGAAGAGGATCTTCGCTCGAGATCGCAATAATGTAATTAACGAGGAAACCCTCAAACTAGTACGAGCCAACATCCTGAAAGAAGTGCTTTGGCCAACTTGGCTGGCCAACCCCATCCTTGTCCGCAAACCTGACAATTCCTGGCGTATGTGCCAAGATTACACAGATCTCAACAAATACTGTCCGAAAGACTGTTACCCCTTGCTCGTAATCGATCAAATGGTGGAAGGTATTACAGGCTACAGGACTCTCAGTTTCCTCGACGCTTATAAAGGATACCACCAGATTCACATGGCCGAGGAGGACGCGGAGAAGACTGCTTATATCACAGAGATCGGAGTATACTGTTACGACAAAATGCCGTTTGGGCTGAAAAATGCTGGAGCTACCTACCAGCGTTTGGTTAATAGAGCCTTCCATAATCAGATAGGAAGAAACATCGAGATATACGTGGATGACATGGTTATCAAGAGCAACTCAGACTGCAAAGTGGTCGAGGATATGAAGGAGATCTTCACAATCCTGCGCGAAATCAATATGAAACTCAATCCGAAAAAGTGCGCCTTCTGTGTAGGGTCTGGAAAGTTCCTCGGATTTCAAGTATCCAAGGAGGGGATAAGCGTAGACCCTGCAAAGGTTGAAGCAATCCTATCAATGGAAGCCCCGAAAACTGTCAAGGATGTACAAAAACTCACAGGATCCCTAGCAGTACTCAACAAGTTTCTATCACGAGCAGCAGAGAGAAGCCTTCCCTTCTTCAAAACTCTAAGAAAAGGGAAGGGTTTCCAATGGACCGATGAATGTCAAAAAGCCTTTCAGGAGTTAAAAGAACACCTCAAGCGACTCCCTATGCTCGCAAAGCCACAACCGGGTGAAGTTCTATACATCTATTTGGCTGCCCGGGAAACGGCCATCTCCGTAGTGCTAATCCAGAAGAAAGATAATAAGGAGCTCCCAGTTTATTTCGACAGCAAAGTCTTACAAGGAGCAGAATCTCGATATACCCCATGGAAAAACTTATCCCGAGCCTTGTGCTCACGCACGACAGTTGCGTCCGTACTTTCAGCCCATCCTATACAAGTCCTAATCGAACAACCCATCCAACAAGTCCTCCTCAAACCTGAAGCATCAGCCGAATGATGAAGTGGGCGGTCGAGTTGGGGAACATCACATTAAGTACAAACCCCGTACAGCCGTCAAAGGACAAAGGCGTTTTGATTTCTGGTAGAAATGCCCAGACCCCGGAACCACGCAAGAATCTATTTCGAGGAAGCAGCTGTGCGAACAACCCCCCACAGATCCTCGAGCCTGGACCCTATACGTCGACGGCTCATCCTGCGAGGAT